AAATGTGAAGATCAGATGAGATGGTCTCTACTTAAGCGCTTTAGTAATCGTGGGATGCTGTACAACATTGGCTGAGTTGAGGCAGCACTGTCTGGCTATGTGGCCTGAGTAGAGAATGTATCATTGCCAGTAGTGCTCCTGTTTTCTTCCAGCCCACCAGCAGCTGATGTACAATCTGCATATGTTTCAAAGGCTGCTCTCTCTTTTGAGCTATTCCATTAACTGCCATTTCCTGGGCAGTAGAACGTAGTCTCTGATTTCTCTTGTAGAACAAAGATGATTGGTGTTCTCTGAGTCCAGTGAATGGTTGTCTTCCAGTCTCAAGTCATTTATTTTCTCTCCAGCCCAGATAGTCTCATACCTGGCTGTCCCGTAAATGCCTTCAATATCTTTCTCACCGTCTTAAAAATTATGATGTTTTAAAATTATGAAAACCACATGGTATGTAATTTCACTTCCCACTCCTGCAAAAAGGAAAGAAAAGGCTGGTCTGTTACAAAATGAAGATGTTTTATTTAAGTGCCAAAGGCTTTTAAAATCTGATTCTGGAAAGTCAAGCCTATGCTTGATAGTAGAGTCTTTCATGCAGCATCTTGAAGTAGGCCTACTTTGATGTGATCACTGACTTCATGCATAAGAGGAAATCAGCTTTGGCCTGTATTACTTGGAAAATTGAAGAAAAAGCAGGGACTTGAAACTTGGGTTATCAGATAAATTATCTATTCTGTGACATCACTCAGTGTCTCCAGACCTGAATTTCAACTCTAAAATTTAAACAAATTGATCCATTTGGAGTGTTTCTTCCTATCTGATTCAGATATTTGCTCCCAGCCTGAGAAGTTGTATGCCAACTTCCTGCCAGGAACACCTTTCCACAGCTGTGTTATAAATATCTGGGGGGAAAAAAAAAACAGGGGAGGATTAAATTCAAGAGTGCAGTACTAGTCCTCCCAGTGCCAAGGCAGTCCTGGGAGGCTCAGATAATAGTATCTCACATTTACAATTTAGATCTCAAGCCCACCAAGCTAGAAGGTGATTCAACTTTTTCTACCTTCTGCAGGGCTGATGGTATTTAAAGAGTTGGATGGATAGTTAGTGATAACATCTATTGGTCATTAAGTTATTGTGTATTAGAAAACATTGTGATTTTTTTTTATACCATCATGCATGGGGTGTACATAGGTGACTGGTAAATGTGCCTTGTCATTATCTAGCATACTTTTTGTCACTTGAGTGTTATAAATCACAAGATGACAATGATTCTGCTCCAGAGATTCTGTTTTGCAGACAACAAAATTATTTTGCACTTATGAATAAGCAGGTAGGGTACAAGACAATCTATGTGAGTTTTTTGGATACTACCTTGAAAGTGCATTTCCATGAGATGCAAGTGAGGAAGGTCATAAGTGCAAGCATATGAATCTATATCCCCTGGAGATGGGCAGAGTGTAACTATACAGGCTGTGTTAGTCAGGGCTCTCCAGAGAAGCAAAATCAACAGAAGATTGATTGATTGACTGATTGATTGATTGACATGGGAATTGGCTCACGTGATTATGGAGACTGAGAAATGTCACTGTCTGCCATCTGCAAGCTGTAGAATCAGGAAAGTCAGTAGTATAATTCAGTTCATGTCTGAAGGCTCAAGAACCAGGAGTTCCAATGTCTGAAGGGAGGAAACGATGGGTGTCTCAACTCAAGAAGAGAGTGAATTCGCCTTTCCTTTGCCTTTTGGTTCTGTGAGCCCTCAGTAATTGGATAATGTCCATCCACACTGGTAAGGGTGATTTTATTTACTCAGTCTCCCAGTTCAAATGCCAATCTCTTCCAGAAACACCCTCACAGACACATTCAGAAAAATGTTTTGCCACCCATCTGGGCAGCCCCTAGCCCAGTCAGGCTGACACACAAATTCACCATCTCAGAGGCTCAGGCAGCCTTACCACCAACTGGGAGAGTGAAGCAGGAGAGGGCAGGGGCATAGAGGAGAGCATGTGGACCCTGCTGAAGACGTAGAACAGCACACGGGAAGCAAGGGCAGCAGCCTCTTGACCTTTTCAACTTTTGATTAGGGCTAATCTTGTGTAGCAAGAACTTCAAAACTGATTTGTTTATGAAGCTTGTTTGTGGTGAGATCAGAACTGGAGTCCAGCTCTACTGACGTCTAGGCTTGAGTGATTTCTATCATATACCACTGTCTGGAAGGTCAGCCTCACTGCTTAATAGAGAAAATTAGTAGATCTAATTCCAAAAGGTTCTCAAGAGGCAACGACTCTTTGCAGAACCATATGAAGTAAACCAACTCCTCCAAAACAAACTCATTCACTCACTCATTTATTCAACACATATTTATTGAGCCTCAACTATGTATCAGTCACTGTCCTAGGTACTGGGATATAACTTTGTGCTAAACAATGCAAGTCCCTGATCTCATGGAGATTACATTCTGGCAGAAAAAAATGAATAGCAATTATGCAAATGTGTAAATGACCTGACTTCACCTAGAAGGCTGCAAAGAAAATTTTTAAAAAGTAAAGCAGGGTAATGTGATAAAGTGGGTGGAAGATTGCAGCTGAATATGGTAGTGGAGGTTGGAGGGCAATTTAGGGGTTACCATTTAATAATTTCCAAATATTACCTTCTCACAAATGCTTGAAAATTATATATATATGTAATATATATGTAATTGTATATATAATTATGTATATATTATATATTATGTATATTATATATTATATGTAATATATATTATATATATAAAATATATATATAGTAAAAAGAGTAAGCTCAGGGGATGGAAACATCCAAAAAGACAACATAAGATTTATTTCCATAGACCAAATATTACTTTTACATTGTTTTTAAAAATTAACACTTTTGTTATAGAAGTAGCACATGGTAGTGTAAATAATTAGATCACATAAAAGACCATTAAGAAGAAAACAAGGCCAGGTGCGGTGGCTCATGCCTGTAATCTCAGCACTTTGGGAGGCCAAGGCAGGCAGATCATGAGGTCAGGAGATCAAGACCGTCCTGGCTAACACAGTGAAACCCAGTCTCTACTAAAAATACAAAAAATTAGCTGGGCATGGTGGCGCATGCCTGTAATCCCAGTGAGCCGAGATCGCGCCACTTCACTCCAGCCTAGGCAACAGAGTAAGACTCCATCTCAAAAAAAAAAAGAAAAGAAGAAGAGGAAGAAGAAGAAGAAGAAGAGGAGGAGGAGGAGGAGGAGGAAGAAGAAAAAACTACCATGATAAAAAAATCACTCTTGAAATTTTAATATTTATTGTCTATTTTTTCTAGGCATGCAAACATGATTTTTACATATGCTGTTTTGTAACCGGCTTTCTGAACTAACAGCATATGATGAACATCTTTTGATATTAGCTAATACATAGTTCCATCATTACTTATCCTTCTTGCATGGTATTCGATTGAAAAAGTATACCAAGGTTTATGAAACCAGTTCTCTATTTGTGAATGCTTGTTTCTAGTTGTCACTCTTGTAAAGAGTGCTTGATGAATATCCTTGTATATATGTCTTTGCACGCTTGTTTAATGATTTCCTTAGAAATAAATTCCTAGGAGTGAAATTACTAGGTCAGAGAGTCTGCAGTTTTAAAGACTTTCAATTATATTGCACAGATATTAATTTTCCTACCAGCAGTTTATGAGTGCTTCTTTGCCCATATGTTGGCCATTTCAGTTTAAAAAGCGAAATAGTAATACATAAAAAATGGTGAACTATTGTTTCAGTTTGTATTTACCTTACTGTTGGTGTAATGTATACTATTTGAGCTTTTTTTACTGACCTTTTGTGTTTCTTCTTTTTGATCCATGTCTTTTGCTCATTGTAAAAATGGAGGTGTTCATTTTTTCTCTTACTGACTTGCCAGAACTGTTTATGTATCTACTCATTCAAATGCCTACTATGTGTCACGCGCTGTTGCAGGATCTAGTGATAGAGGATAAACAAGAAATCTTGCCTTAAAAAAGTTATTTTCTAATTTATTTAATGGCCAATATTAATTTTTGTCAGTATAACTTTTTTGGAGGTCAAAAGCATCTTTATATTCCTCTATGATTTCATCCTGTAGTGTCATGTTCAGAAAGACCTTCCCAACCTCAAGATTATAAAACTAGTCACCATATTTCCCTCAGCTATTAATTGAATAATTTATCTTTTCCCCACAGATTTGAAATGCCATCTTTATCATTCACTAAATTCTTAAATATACATAGGTCTGCTTTCGGATTTTCTACTTGATTTCACTGATGTGTCTATGTTGGCATCTATGTCAAATTACTGTACATATTGTGGCTTTATAACATATTTGGATATCTGCTAAGGAAAACCCCAACTCATTATTCTTCTTTTTGAAAACATGTTTGTGTGTTTATTCTCCCAGAATTTTGTCAAGCTCTGAAAAGAAATTCCAGGAGATTTTCAGTAAGACTAAGTTACATTTGTAGGTTAATTTGCAGAGAATTTGTAATGATATTCGTTATTCTTACTACAGGAATGCAATTTGTCAATATACAGGTCTTTTTATATGGCCCTTAGTAAAATTTAATCTTTTTTATTAAGATCTTGCATAATTTTTGTCCAACTTATTTCTTGATATTTTATGTCTTTTTACTACTACGAATAGGATCATCTTGCCTTTACGTTTTTTTTTAACTGGTCACAATAGGTAAGTAGGAAAGCTGCTGATTTACCTATTGTTTTATTGCCAGCCTTCTTAATGATATATCTTATTAGAAGTCACAAATCAAAATGCTAGTGATGCAGTCTGAGAATGAACCAATCGGTTCAGACACTGGGTGTGAACAGTTTGTACAAACTTTCTATGACATAGCAGCTGAATACTAACAGGGATGTCAGTTCCAATACTTTTTCAGATAAATCTCCTTTTTTCAATATCTTTCATAGGTAAGCAACCATAACATGTATAATTCCTGGCCGTTTTTCTTTCTCCACAATATTTTGTTTTCAGGTTTAATTGCATGTATTGAAATTGGAGCACAATCTGAAATAGAAGTGGTGATGATTGACTTCCTCATATTGCTCCTGATTGTACTGGAAAAGTTGGTCAGGGAGAGATATTACTGTAAATAATGGTAAGAGAAACTCTTATATTCTATTTTATTAATAGTTTTTTTAAAATTAGAAATTGATAGTGAATTTTATCCCATACTTTACCTCTACTTTCTATCAAGATGGTTATATGAACTGTTTATTTTGTCCAATTGATGTTGTAATATATGTTAATCCATTTTCCAAGTTGGAGCACGATTGCATTCCTGGAATAAACCTACTTGGTTATGATGCATAACCTTTGTGTTATACATCTGAATTTAGTATACTAAGGTTTCATTTAGCATTTTTTTGTATCTATTAGGCATAAGTGTGGGATTAGTTACTATTGCGCAAATTTTGTAACAGTAATTGGTATGTTTCCATCTTTTTATGCTTGCAAAATTTAAATGATGTAGGGATTTTCTGTTTCTTGAAGGTGGTTAGAACTCCCCCAAACAACAGTATGGGCTTTTTGTGTGGCTCATGTTTTAATAATTGATTTTCATTTCTTTAATAATTTTGGTTTATTTGAGTTTTCTAATTCTTCTTGAGCAAGTCTTGTAGTTTATATTTTTCTAGAAAATAATACATTTGAGATTTTCAATTTAGTAAAATAGAATAACATATAGTTCCCTGATATGTTTTAAAGTAATCATATCTGTTGCTGTGTATACTTTCTCATCGTTAATCCTATTCTTTTCTTTCTCTCTCTCTTTTTTATCTTTGGACTGGCCAGAGCATTGTTTATCTTACTGGTCTTTTCAAAGAGCCTACACCTTTCCGTATGTGCTACGGAGACATGCACGTACTACATACATCATGTGGCACAAGGAACTAGATCCTGCTAGCAACCACTCGAGTGAGCTTGGAGACAGATACCCACCAGAAAAGCCTTCAGATAGGACCGCATGCCCAGCCAACACTTTGATTTGTGAGAGACGTTGAACCATGGGCACCCTGCTAAGCTGCACCTGAATTCTTACCCCACAGAGACTGTGACATAATTTGTGTTTTCTGTTTCAAGCAACTAAGTTTTGGGGTAATTGTTATACAGCAATAGACAACTAATTTAGTCGATGATTGAGTCTCTTAGACATTTGTCACCCCTTTCTATTTGGTTTGTGTGGTCAGGTATTAAGGTCCCTGAGTTCTGTTGTTACAGAGTAATCAATCAACTAACACCAACTAAATAAACAAAAGGTGCAAAGCAGGGCCTTTCCTCTCGGAAGTCCCCTCTCTCTCACTAGAGAGAGAGAGCTGTTTTCCTTTCTCTTTCTCTTTCTTTTGCCTATTAAACCTTTGCTCCTAAACTAAAAAAAAAAAGTGCAATGCAGAGGTTAGACTTTTAGATTGTGCAACTCTTGACTTGCATAACATCAACCTTTTGTAAGTTGTTCCATAAGGGATGGAATACAGTTTTAGAGATGTGAAAATATTAGTGTGATATATGGAAATGTAAAGTATCTCAGGCAGAGATGAATATTGTGCATAGAGAGGGAAAGGCAGACGGCACTCACATGAGAGGGAAGGCCCTTCTGTTCAGTCCCATGTGGTTTCTGGTACCATGTGTATTCTCATTGCATTATCTTGTGTTATTTCAGTTTATTAGTTTTATTTTTCCCTTTGCTTTATTTCATTCAGGACTAAAAATTGACAAAGTAAGAGCAAGAAGAGAGGAACAGTTTCTAATTTAAGAAGAGGAATTTGTAATAGAAAATAAAAATGTTAAAGAAACACAAAGGCATCCACAGTCTAAATTTCATGAACTTCATTTGGGAAATATTTTTTAAATTACGGTAATTTATGGATAAAAAGCATGAAAGATGGGCTGGGCATGATGCCTCATGCCTGTAATCCCAGCACTTTGGGAGGCCGAGGTGGGCAGATCATCTGAGATCAGGAGTTCGAGACCAGCCTGGCCAACATGGTGAAACCCCGTCTCTACTAAAAATACAAAAATTAGCTGGGCATAGTGGCAGGCACCTGTAATCCCAGCTACTCGGGAGGCTGAGACAGGAGAATCACTTGAACCCAGGAGGCAGAGGTTGCAGTGAGCTGAGATCACACCATTGCACTCCAGCCTGGGTGACAAGAGCGAAACTCCACCTAAAAAAAGAAAAAAAAAAAGCATGAAAAAAGTTTTGCATCTTTGGAACTTATAGAGTTCATAGAGCAGGGTTCAGGAGGAAAAGTTACTTATAGAAATAGAGGACTGACTTACAAGGAAGATGGTGAATCATAGTTTAAAATGCATGCCACTTAGCCTAATGATCATTTAAGCAAAATCTTGAAGTTAGAAACAGGAAAGAAAATATTGTGAACTCTTGCAGTATGAAGCTACTGGTGGGTCATGTTGGAATTTACATGATTAAAAAATGCATGTTGAGACTGCTGGAATAGACACAAAAAGCAAGACAAAAGGTGGGACTATTAAAAAGAAATACAGGAGATGACACAGCACAGAAAGTCTTATATGAATAAAAAGAGATTGACTTTAGAGAAAACATGCCTCTAAGAATATACATTTTCAAGAGTTAAAAGCAACTCCACTACTGAAGGCTGTGAAAGATATACTTGACCTTGGGACCAATGTCCTGAAAATTGCAAATAGGAACTGTTGTCCACTAATTTCTCTGAAGAGCTATGGGTAATTTAAAGGTCTTTATGAAGTCTATGTATTTTCAGTGTACACCAAATCCATGCTTTGCAAGGCCTTCTTGAACGGGACTGTGATGTAATTTGGGGAGTGTCTGCATAATTATAATCCCTTCCCTCAAGGAGTTCATATTTGGCCATAAAGAACAATGCTCAGCCAGGAGCGGTGGCTCATGTCTGTAATCCCAGCACTTTGGGAGGCCAAGGTGGGTGGATCACTTAAGGCCTGGCCAACATTGTGAAACCCTGTCTCGGCTAAAAATAGCAAAACTAGCTGGGTGTGGTGGCACGTGCCTGTTGTACCAGCTACTTGGGAGGCTGAGGTGCAAGAATTGCTTAAACCCAGGAGGCAGAGGTTGCAGTGAGCCGAGATTGTGGCACTGCACTCTAACCTAGGTGACAGAGTAAGACACTGTCTCAAAAAAAAAAAAAAAAAAAGTGAGGACCTCAGGTGAGGAGAGCCAAGTGCCTGGCGCAGAGGGGTCGATCCCTGTGCACCATGCTATAAAAGACATCTTTCAGCCTCACAGTCTAAGAATTAGGGGAAAACTCCCACAATTAAAAAATATGTTTAGAAAATAATTTCATTTCTGTGAGATAGGAATTGTTATTCCCATTTTCCAGCTGAGAAAATCGAGGCCCTGAGAGGTGAGTAATTGCCCCAAGGTCACGAAGCTAGTGACCAATGAAGCTGGAATTGAACTTGGTTGTATGAATTCAAAATCCATGTACTTATTTTCTCTGTCCTAGTTGTAGTTCTATCTCTGTCCATATCCATTTCTTGTTTGGGAAGATTTAGAGGATGTTCTCATTTTAGAAGATTTAGATTGTGACAAAAAAGTGAACTACTTTTGGGTTTTATGCATGTGGAGTGGACATACCCGGCCAATCAATTATTTTGGTTGCTTTACTACACATACATTCAAGAGCTCTTTTTAGTTATTGCCTCTTGAAGATGCCACGCATTTATTAATTTAAGCCTACTATTAAGCCAGTTAGGTTATATAAGACTGTATTTGTCCTCACACTTCTAATAAAGACATACCCGAGATTGGGTAATTTATGAAGGAAAGAGGTTTAATTGACTCACAGTTCCATGTGACTAGGGAGGCTTCACAATCATGGCAAAGGAGAAGGAGGAGCAAACTCACATCTCACATGGCAGCAGGCAGGACAGCATGTGCATCCCCTTTATAAAACCATCAGATCTTGTGAGAGTTATTCACTATCAGGAGAACAACACAGGAAAGACTCACCCCCATGGTTCAATTACCTCCCACCGGGTCCCTCCCACAACACGTGGGAAATATGAGAGCTACAATTCAAGATGCGATTTGGGTGGGGTCACAGCCAAACCATATCAAGGACTATTTACAAGAACCCTAGAAGATTCAAAGGGCTGTTTACAAGAACACTGGGCACTCTCCAGAACCTTGAAAGCACATCTTGGGAGTGCTTACGTGCCATAAGTATTGTGTAAAACTTGATATTACACATTAAAAATTTGTGGAATGAATAAATGAAAATATAAAATACTGAGCGTGTGAATGTTTAGAAACTCAAGTCCTACAGAGAAACTTAATTTTTCTTCTGGTTTTAACTCTTACATGCAGGTTAGAATAGAGGTAGGTAGGAAGGAAAGAGTGAGGGAAGAAAAACAAAACATTTTGCACCCAGTGCATATTTAATAACATCATTTTACTGAAATACAATGAGGAATTAAAAAGGAGGATTTATTTTATCAAGCCAGCTAACAATTACCAAGGTCTTACTATGTGTTAAGTTTACACACCATGCATAGCATGTAAGTCTGCTGGTTCTCGTATCTGGCTGGACATTGGAATTTCCTGGGAAGTTTTTAAATTATTGATGCCTGGAGTCTACTCCCAGAGATTCTTATTTAATTGCTCTGGTGTGTAACATGGGCAAATGGGTGTTTTTAAAGCTCCCCAGGTGATGTGTAACCAACATTGAGAATTTCTGTGTAACTCCTTTCGTTCAGAGGTCGGCAAACTTTTTCTGTAAAAGGCCAGATGATAAATATATTAGCCTTTGTTGGCCATATGGTCTCTGTCACAAATACTCAATTCTGCTGTTATAGCACTAAAGCAGCCACAGACAATATGTGAGTGAGGATAGCTGTGTTCCAATAAAACTTTATTTATGAACACTGAAATTTGAATTTCATAAAATTTTCACATCACAAAAGAGTATTGTTATTTTGATTTTCTTTTCCCAATCATTTAAAAATATAAAAGCCATTCATAGGTCGAGGGCCACACAAAAACAGCAGCTGGCTAGATTTGGCCAGAGTTTGTAGATAGAAGCCAGCTTTAATTCATGTAACTCCATGATGGCAGATGCAATATTATTCTCTTTTTTATAGTTGAGGGGAGTGAGACAAGATCAAATGTCTCGGTGATTGGTTCGGGATTTGGCCATAATGCTGTTTCTTTTTTAGAAAGCACCAACATTTCTCTAAATATTACCTTTTTGGTTATTTTTGAAGTTAATTATGAGGATAATTGATGGGGGGAAGCTCTCCTTTCAACCCCTATCCTTTTAAATGTAAATTCCCAGTGACTTCAAGTTAGAATAATGTATTGTTTAATTAAAAAAAATTTTTGAACTCTTGTTCAGCCCTCTGCTTCTCACATTGCTGGGTAGATCTGGCCTTTCATATGTTCGTTGAGGAATTTATTCAATTTAATTGAAGTTACAGTTTTTTCTTGTTCTTCATGTACCTCCGAATCAAGCAAATAGTGTTAAAATATTGTGGTCAATTATACATATAAATCTTGCAGAGTTAATGAACATATTCTCTAGATTGTGGAATAGACTGGACACTTATCTTACTCTTTAAGATAAAATACCACATCTGTATAATGCGTTGCTAAGCTTTCTTCTCACTATACACTTTGCCTAGAATCCCATTTTCCATTAAATAATAATCATTGTAATTAATAGACTGGTTATTTTATCTCCCTAATCTGGTTACGGTAATTTATCAAAGGCATGTAAATGAATGTTAGAAAACTAGTGCATCCTTCTTTTTAAAAGAAGGTAAAGAATATAAAAAGTAATAATTATCTAGGGAATATAATAAGCTAGGTACCACTTGTAATTCACTGAAAGAAAAAAATAGAATATTTACTGTTGCCTTAAGGGCTTTTGATAGGATTAACTTACCCTTGTTTCAGGGAGTGACTACAGATAGGTTGATGGGTGACCAGTATGTATTCTTCAAATCTTCTCAAGTGCCCTGGGATGGATCAGCGGATCTCTTCCTAGCTCTGCATCCCGCCTTCCTCTGTGCTGGTCAGCTGAAAAGTGCAATGCCCTCCAGGGATGATAAGGACCATTCAGAGCTTGGTTGTTCTTAAGAAGGGTTTTAAAAACACTCTAGACTGGACATCGTGGCTCACGCCCATAATCCCAACACCTTGGAAAGCCAAGGCAAGAGGATTCCCTAAGGCCAGGAGTTCAAGACCAACCTGGGCAACATAGCAAGACCCCCCCCATCTCTGCAAAAATAAAAATAAATAATAAATGAAAACACTTTACCTCTCCCTAAAGCCCAAGGGAAGAATTATTATTACGTATGCCACTCCAGTCCTCAGACATGAACTTTATTTAGGCAAGAAAAGGAAGGAGAATAAAAGGGACCAGACAGGTAGGTGACCAGGCTCTTGCATGCTGCTCATTTTCAACTGGGCCCATCTATCTGACCCTTACCACCATGGCATTCTCATTCTTTGTACTCATACCTGTTCTGCATAATCTGTGGAAATCTTCTAATACTTGGATATGATATATCACGCTATATTAAAACAACACTGGCGAGACAGTGTAGGGGGATGGTTTTAAAGTAATGAGCTTTAAAAATGAGCTTTGGAGCCAGCCAGGCCTGGATTCAAGTTCCAATTACACTCCCCGTGGCTGATAACCTTGGGCATGTTACTACAATAGGGGTTAGAAGAGGTTTATAGTGAGAAGTAAATCTGAAAATGCACTGAAAACTTCAGAATAGTAACTGGACTCAGAATGTGCCCTCGAAAAATGGAATTTATCTCCATCTTGTTCTCCTTCCCTTCTTTCCTTTTTTTTTTTTTTTAAATAATATGCTCTAAAGATTAAAGTGGGACGAGGAACCTCCCATTCTTCTATGCAGCCACCCACTCCTTTGGAATTTTTATTTGAAAAGACAGCAAAGAG